ACTGCTACTGCTACTACCTACTAACTGCTACTAACTACTACTAACTACTATTATTACTACTACTACTACTATTATTCCTACTTGTATGTGTACTTGTACCTGTACTAGTTCTACTAGGAGTACTGGCACTGGTACTGGTACTAGTACGGGTACTAGTACCAGGACTCGAGTACGAGTAGTGTTGGTACTAGTACTAATACTAGTACTAGTACAAGTACTAGTACTGTACTGCGCTAGTTCTAGTACTAGTACTAATACTGATGGCAGCAGTAGTAGTAGCTGTGTCGCCTCTGCACAACCAAATCAAGCACGGCTGCCTATCCGCAGCAATCCACCATCGCCCTCGACGCCGCAGGCAAAGCTGGATAAAGGAGATCGGCATGATCGGATGAGAGATGGTGCATGAACGAGTTTTGTCGGCTGCACGGCAGTATCTGAGGCGCTGTTGAATGAAAGCGGAAACGGAAGTGGCACCTGCCCTCTGCAAGGATGGATTCAAACACTCGCAGATTCGAAAAGATGGGCGGAAATAGCTCTACTGCTACACTGACGATGTGAAACATACCGTTTAAATACCGACCATGTTGAGGATGAATCTCGTCAAAGTGAAAATCAGGTGCTGAACGCACCGAAAACTTACCGGACGAGTTTGGAGCCTGCTTGAGTAGCTTGACTTTGTCAGCAACCGTCCCAAGAGACTCCGTCTGGCCGCTGGCGCTTTGCCAGCGCATCACCACAGAACAGGGCAGCGTCAATTGCTCCTGATCTTGAGCGTGTGTCTTCCCAGTACTCTCTACCCTTGCCCACACTGCAGTCTTCAGTGGTGCCTCGAGCTGTTAGGCTCTGTTTGGACCCTCAGTCCTGCGCCGTACTCCAGTTTCACGAACTCCGCAGGCTGTGGACCCGGCTGGTGAAGAAAGCCAAAGAATAAGGCTCTGCACTTCCTTGGCTTCTGCTGTCCCTCCCGTGACTTTACGCATTTCACATACTAGCATGGCAACCCACACCTGAAGTGATGCTGCTGCAGCCGTAGCTTCCGCATCCAACTTCCGACGAACGCTGGCACAAATCTGATTTAGCGATGCGCTGTCTAACGAGTTCAACTCTTTCGTTGTGCCTTCGTGAACGGCATTCAAAGGCACCAGGATGTGCGATCTGCTTGACCCCACAGTCAGGGCGAGACAGAAGTGGCAATCCTGAGATGAGTGCCGGAACCAGCTCTCCGGACCTAGCTCCAGCAGAGTCCAGCCAGCGCCCTTCAATTTTGGCGTCAGTAAACATTTGGCAGCTTCAAGGACTGGCTCCGATGTCTTGGCTGGAAGCGGCTCCTTTGCGCAGCCCTCAGGCCCTTCGTACATGAAGGCTGTCAATGCAAAATACTCCGTTTCCGGGGATGGGCCTCGGCCCAGCCACTTCGCAGGTTGACCACGGACAGCATCTCCGTCGTTTTCGCTCACTGACTTCTTGACCCTAGTATCCTCGGATTTTGCTCGCGGCGTGCCCGTAGCCGCGCTTGCAAGTCCTCAAGACCATGTGAACACACCAGAACATGTAGCAGCATCTATCTGTTAGCTCTTGCGGGCATGTGCAACAACTCCTTGGAACTGATGAAGAAGCCGGCGAGCAAACGACTTCGGGCGCCCACGTGCACTCGCCGGTGGCTCAGGAGGCGGACGAGGGGTGCCTACTTCGACATGACCAATGTTGAGCTTGTTCCTCGCCTTTTCCTGGCGGGAGTGTTTCGGGCAGGCATACCCTTCTTGTCACTGCTAGGCACATCAGAAACACTGAGATCCTGATCGAAGCGCAGCACACACAGCCAAGGGGGGAAGTTAGGCAAAGCCCGTGCGACATCATCTGCGAGCCAGTCGACCACAGACTCCAATGAGGAATCCTCGTATGGCCAACATCTGGACCCGAAACGCCACCAGATACAATACTTGCGAATATTTACCGAGCGCCAGGCCAGAGTATGGAAATGCCAGGTGGTCTTTCCCGGGGACGGCTCCGTGTGTTGTTCTGGGTGCAAGACCTGGATCGAAGTCACGTTCTCCTGGAAGGAACATCAAGAAAGCAGACATTCATTTCGGCAGCATGTGCACTGAAACATCCTCCGCGAAGTCTTGCAGAAGGCTCTGCGAGAGCCGAGATCCGAGTTTTGCCGTCAAATCCTGAGACACGGGCATGTTCTGATTCTTGCAGACTCGCGACAGCTTAAACTCACTCTGGGACGAAACCCTTCGGCCACTTCAGCTTCGGCAAAGCATCCCCTAAGACCACCAGAGTGAGCCGCAACGTGGCGTCTTTTGCGATGGGATCGGGGAGCGATGCCGAGGCCAGAAAAATGTCGCCCACAGTGCCCGCGCGGCCGAAGCGGAGGGACTGGAGCTTGGGGGCACTAGGCAACCCGTCTGAGAAGCGGCTGAAGGCAAAGAGCTGCAGCGCCAATCCTGAAAATCAAAAGCCCGCCATGTGTGCACTTGGAGCTTGCAAGCACATCACGCACAAGAAACCAGCTGCACGCAAGGACACCCACAGGGTCGGCTAACGATGGTTGCTGCTTCGCAATCGGCAGACCGAAGCCCGACTCGAAACGCCGATGGAACACCGGAGCACCTCGTCGGTTGAGCTCTGTTTCCGTCTCGTTATCTTGGGGATACCTGTTCCCGAACCGAGAATCTAGCCTTCTCAGGATCTCTTCAGATTGGCCTGGGCCTTGAAGTTCCGAAACTCCGTGGATTTCTCCCTATGGCTCCGTGGTTTCTTCTGCATTCTTTGTGCCCACAGATTTCCTCTCCGGAATATTTCCCGTAGGAGATATTTTGGACCTTCAAGAAATCCGCACGACTGCTTCTGTCTTGAATGTCTCGGAAGATGAAACTGCCAAGGAAAAGGAATGCAATACAAACCCGACAGCTCTTCCATTCATATCAAGCAAGCCCTGGGTCTCCTACGATTACAGAATGCCAGCGAATCCAGTGAGGGAACTGGCCACCCGAGAGCTGACCAGCCAAGAAATCAACCATACATGCTTCAACATCTGGCTTCAGCTTAGCCCCAGGAGGCTATCAGCATCACAAAGAAGAGATCAGGTTCTACACTCGCCTGCGTGCTTGTCAGTCGAGGCACCGGTGTCCGCGTTGAACACGAGGAAGCCCCCAAACATTGCCCTGCCCTCTTAAAAACTTTAGCGAACAGTTTGGTGCAGGAGGCCTGGGATGTCGGGTATCTGCGATGCTCTCTTCCCCTCCACTGAACCGACGTCAGCGTCAAGCCCGCGGGCAGGAGTTTTGATGCAGCTTTGGTATGAGACAGCTGTGAGCGCACTGCAAAATGCAAAAGCACGGATTCGCTAACGTGCTCAGCGCTTTTGCAGCCTCAGGCCTCAAGGCTGCCGGCAAGGCCAGCAAAAGGCGAAGGCGCTCTTCAAGCGTCCACATCAACGACGGAGCACTTGATACTTTACATGGCGCAACTGGTTCAAGGCACTGTGCCTACAGAAAGTTCATGCCAGCCTTAGCTTCTTGCATGCCAGAAAATAATTGAAGAACATGATGCAAACAGCTTTGTTGATGCAGCTAGGCAGCCAAATAACGGAGTTGCTCGAAGCACATTAAAGAAATCGTCGTGTGAGGCCCAAGCCTCATCCACTGCATGTTGAAGCCTCGGAATAAGGCTCCAATGCCTTCGGCACCTGCAGTTTTCCTCCAACAGTCCAAGGTGTTTGTGTACAGCGCGCCACGCCGTGTCCTCAGCTCCAAGCGCTGACAGCATGGCAAAAAACCAGGCACACCCTGCCGAGAGACTCCGGGTCCAGGGGCTGCGACATGATCCGACTCTTTGCCAAGTCGACGGGGCTTGTGACTGCCGCTGCCACAACCCCTGCCAGCATGCTGCACGCAAAGTGGCATACATAACCTCGCACGGCATTGGGCAGGCGTCTCGTCTTGGAGGCCATGTCCATATTTGCACCATGACTTCCCAAAGCCGCGCCAAGCATTGCAGACAAGGAGCCCTCACGCACTAGGCCTGCAAAAGAATCTGCTTTTATTCTGGTACGGAAGTCTGCTGTACCTGCCCACCGGCCTAAATCGAGAAGAGTGTGCTTGGCATGGTCATAGCTGGGTACCTGAAGAGATGCATTAAGCTCGCGAGCTGTTGCCCATGCAGAGCTTCCGGTGTTCTGATGGCCTGGGAGGCCGTGAGCAAGGTTGCTCTTTGCACAGTGGGGCCGGCTCCACGCCAGAGCCCGCGGAGTCCTCCGCCCTGCACGATGCTGGTAAACTCTTCGGTCACCTGAGCGACTCAGGCTCGAGCGAATGTGCATAAACGATGACGTGCACCACATTCACTATATGCCCAGCTCAGAGTTCAGAGAGGTCGCAGAAGCCCGAGTTTCATGTGCGCCTCCTCCTTGCATTCGTACCTTGAGCAGGTCGAAGGGATTTGCAATCACAGAGCCGATGGCACCTCGCGCTCTGTGAACATTCGGCAGGATGCGTGTAGCAACGCATCAGACACGCTGACTTGCTGGCCTGTGATTGCCCCAGCCAGGATCTTGACCACCAGCGGCGAAGTTGTTTGCCTCTTCTCCTGTTGGCCTGGTCTCCGAAGCCGAATACAAAACTTGCATCCGCTTGAGTTGAGAACTCGTGGAGCCCAGAAAAATCCAAACCAACTTAGCTCAGACCCGAATGCAAGAATGGCTGGAGATTATGGATTCAACATGCTCCGGCTTCGATTGGCTCGCACACATGCACTTCTGAGAGTTCTAGAAACCAGTCCTCCTCTACTTGCCAGCGTCTCACGGACGGGCTCGTAAAGGCCCATCCGCATGCCACTGTAGGACAGCTCTCGCAGAATTGACGGTCGCAGTCCTGGGCAGCGAATGCATGTTCTGGAGCGTTCACGACATGCAGCTCTGTCAGCAACACCAAAGCAACAACCGATATTGGTATCCGGCACTGGATCTAGTTTGCTCTGTTGAGACCGACATGAGTGGTGTTTTGGATGCGCCTCTGCTACTAGTAGCGCCCTGGGTGCTTTGTGCGCGTGCTGTAGTTTTACCCGCCGTCGCCTGCCGTGGCTTCCCAACCCCCCTGCTTGCATGGTACCATTTTTGGGAGCCGGGATGAGCCCGGCAGGTTCTCTCAAGTACGCTACGACAGGCTCCGACGAAAATGGAAGGAATCCTCCCGACTAGAGTCGCGCAGTCGGGAAATCATGGAGTTTGAGTCGTCACGTCTGCTGAAACTGCTTTGCTCCAGAATGTCTCCATGAGATCCGTGAAGCACTTTGTTAGATCACCTCTTGTTTCTGGTTTGGCGGTGGCGCATTCAAAATTAGTTGTTTATGCCAGTTTCGTTTTTAGTTCAGGGCGTCCCGTATCGTTTTGCGTGAAGCATACTGGAATAAGCGATACACTGCTTTAGAGTAGGGAGATACAGCATCGAACTTGCAGCATTCCAGGGTGTGGCCTTGGGTTGCGGTCTTTGGGGCCTTTTCAATTCCTTGGACTTTCGGGTCTTGAGCTTCGTCAGTTGTGCTTGTCGACACGGCGTGGCATCGTGCAGCCATGAAGAACTGGTTTCTGAGAGCATGCGAAGTTTTTGTGATGTGGAGAGTTGGTTTAGGCCTGGGGTTTGAAGTTTGTACATGAACGGCCACTCGGGGCTACATTTTGGGTATCGTTCGGGTATCGACACCCTTACTAAAGCCTAAACTCTCGACACAGCCCAGGAGTTATATACAGTGGCAACATTGCTGTATTGAGGGTATCGTCTTTAGGGCGTCCCCTATCGTTTTACAGGTCACCGCAGGCATTAGCCATCTTCGACAACGGCCTGCTTTAAAGTCTATATACGATAATTTTGGCATTTGCGATTGGTTTGCCTGTGTTCGCCTACGTCGGCGCTGAGGGTTACATCGCCTGCTTGGGCGGCATCGTCGCTTGCAAGAGCACAGCATCATCAGCATAACGGCAATCCCCGCCCTCTTCTGCTCAGCAGACACGGCGCTGCGAACAAATCCGCAAGTCACGAGACACGCAAGGGCCCGCAAAAGAAACGTGCACACCGCTGCAACGCACGCACTCATGCACTCGCCTCGCTGCAAGCCAGTGGGGCCCTCCTGTTGCCAGAGTTTTCGGCCGGCGCCCAGCACCGTCTGGGCATTGCAGCTCGTGATCTGGGAGACGCCCGCCAACTGCATGCGGACCTCCAACGCTCGAGAGGTGCAACTCTTCTCCCTGTCGAATACCCAGGGCCCAGGCCTTCACCACATCGACCGGGTTCGTGAAGCAAGCAGCAATTGCCTCTGTGCCACATGTAGACAAACAGTTCTGAAAGGATTGCGCCGTGAGCAGATTGACTTGACTCGGCGCTTGGCTGAGTGCATTCAAGTTACATTGCTGACGCCTGCCAAACCTACTTGCTGCAAGGCTGCTGAAGAGGCATCGGGCATAATCAAAGCAAACCCAAGTTTGTGAAGCACACGGTGTCTGGACTGACTTCGGTCACTGCCGGCACCATATTGCACTTATCCTGAATACGTCGAGATGTCCGTCTTCTGCTGTCTTTGCTCGCAGCATGTTGCTCAGCGCAGCAATGCAGCAGGCAACCTTTCACATCGAAGTGCAACATCTGTGCGGTATCGAGAGCATCAACTGCCTGGTGTGGATTTGTGTCGGCTTTGCGAAGGGGCTTCTAGAAACAAGTTCAAACTACAGGCTGGAGAGTACCGGAGTTGAGCGCAGTTGAAGACTTGCTGCACCATGGACGGCTGAGATCTGCGGTGTGAACGGATGCAATGAGACTGGCAGGCCCCTTTGCTGCTCTCGGAAGTCTGCTTCCTCTGAGACTTCACGCTACAAACAAGATCGAAGCCTTTTTTGCAACGGGACTGTTCGTTGAAGGAACGGTCGTCAGAGCAGGCTGCACTTATTGGCATCACCAGAAACGGTACAAAACTTTTGAGTTGCACCAGAGTGTTACATGGAGCTACTCTAAGTCTGCCAGGCTCACATCCGCAAGCTCCTCGAGGTCCAGGGCCTGCCCAGGTAGAAGAAAGTTAAGACAGCCACACACCGACGCACTAGTAAACTAGGATTGAAATTTCTGCGCGTGGCTGACTTCGGGTCTTGTTCGTGGCTATTCGTCGGGTCCCGGACTTGTCCCGCTCCAGCATTGTACCGCGACTCTTTGTGCACGGTGGTCTATCACGGATTCGCACAGGGCTCAGTCCGACCCCGCAGAGCGCCAATTCCATGACAGCCAACGTCAAGATGGACTACATGATTGGGCAAGAGTGAGCCCGTCGAAACTGAAGTGCACAACCACGGCAACCACGCACCCGGACCGACCGAAGCACATAGCCATTGATCTCACCAGCTCCGGCTATGGAATCGGTGATCAATGCCATTGCTGCAAGAATCATGGACGTGAGTAGCGGGTTGTCGTTGTTCACGAGCAAGCCAAGCGGGGCCATCAAGGTGGGAGGTGTGTCGTCTTCGGAAGCGACAACTTGCGCTTCTCTCACCCTGACAGCTGCTAAATGTCCACCTAAGACACGTTCCTCGTCCGTGAGCTCATCTACCAAAGACAGGTCCACCCCAGTCTTCAACAACTCTCGCAGCATCGCCGCAGCGCTGGTGACTCGCAAGTCTCTAGAAGTTCCCCGACCAAAGGCGCAGCCCACTGCTGGGCTTGTCGGGTCTGTCTGCCCCATCGCAGCATGCGCGCCAAGGCTTGCGGCTGCTGCTGCGAAGCCGACAGCCACCAGTGCACTGCCTCCTGTCACCACGGTCCCAGCTGCACCAGCTGCAAGTCCTGCAGTGCAGTGGATTGCTTCAGAGTTTGATAGCAGTGCTCCGTTCCCCGAAGACAAGGCGACTGGTGCAGAGCATAATCGCATGAGAGCAAGCATGGCGCCGAGCGCAAGTCAACCCCACAGCGGATAAGAATTCCCCTTGCCGGGCCTAGGCTTGCATAGGCCTCCCTCCGTGCTGCTGCGCTCACTGCTGGCTTCGATGAGTCTAAGCCAAGCGTGGGCAAGGAAGACACGCTCCTCGGCCCCGGGCCCGGCAAGGCCCTAGCCCTGCACAGAATAGAAAACAAAAAAGCCCCATCTCTTCCCCAGCATCTCTTCAGACCAGCTGCGAAAGGGATTCTTCGATCAAGCCAGCCAGCTCGGAACTGAACTGCTCATCAAACGGGCGGCGACAATCTCGCAATGTGAGCATCAAACCTAGGCTCCAGAACGTCAAGTTGCTCCTTGACTGGGACGAAGGGGTAAAGAGCTTCTGGAGCTCGGAAGATCCAAAAGTCTGCAACTAGGCTTCGGGGGCGAAACCAAGCTCACGACAAAAGCGGCTGCAACATGGCTGTGCGAAGAGCTAGACTAGACGTGCACACCCGCCTAACATGAGGCCAAGGCCAGTCGAGATAGCCAAGCTGCAGCCCAGCTCCTCGGACACTGACGCCCGGTGGCCGCAGACCTCTCTGCCAATGTGGCTCTTCAAGGAATCGGCGACCACACGGACTGCCTGTCGCAGCCAACGAGCTGATGACCCCTGCATGAGAAAAGGACCTGTGCAGGGGTGGCGCTGTAGCATCCACCTCTTCCGGGCAGAAAGTTGGGGCACCTGACAAGATCCGACCGTGACTTTCAGGCAACTTCTTTGCAGACTCTTTCATGGCCCCTGCCCGTGGCAAGTATGCACCTGCAGCCTGGCAGGCTGCCAGCAGCAAGGACTTTGCCTGCCCAAAATTCGGTGCGCTGACGATGACCTCCGTCGTCCTGCGTCGCAGCTTGGAACTTGGAAACCTCAAGAGATACCCCGGACAGAAGCACAACCTTCCCAAGAAGGGCCACGACCCTCAGTGACAGCGCAGGTCCTGGAATCCAAGCCATCGAAAAGAGAAAGGAGGTGCGAGCCTTTTAGCTCGAGCTCCTCAATCTCTGGGCTCCATACCTCGAGAGCTTCGACGAAGTGCAGGGAGGCACCCCATTGCCCTGCCATGGGAACCGGACGAATTCGTTATCATCGTCCTCATTGCCGTCCAGAGTCCTGGACAGCTTCAGCAAGGTGTCCCCGAGTCTAGTACTAGTGGAAAAGTCACTCTGTGCAGGAAGGCAGTCCAGAGTCTGGCAAATCGCACACCGTTGACTTCAGGCATGGGTTGGACCACGGGAGCATCTGCTGACCCCAATCGCGCTGGCCATGGCGAGCACGCAATCCTACGTCTTCTTACAAAGTCGATGGTGACAGTGCTACCCACACTTGGTGCTCTATCCCAGCGAGTAGCTCCAGGAAAGGTTCTGGCTGACATTTTTAGGCCGGTTAAGACATGCATTTCGCGTCTCTGGTCTTGCTGCACACGTTGGCGATATGTGGCGGTTGTCTTCCGAGGGCATCACGACCTTTAGCTGCTGCCAACCTTGTCGGCGCAAGCTTTGTCGGTGGACCAATATACCTGCGGCAGCAAATTTCAGAGAAGGCGCTTTCCATTCACTGTCTCACAGGGCTCACCTGCATCTGCTTGATGCAGCGGGCCAAGCCAGGCCTTACCAACAGCCAATACATCTCTCCAGCGTCCAGGGCAGCAGTCACTTCGGTAGCTGCAAAAGCTCCGGGCTTTCCAGGAGCAAACCCCATTGGCTCGAGCACCTTCGAGAGGCTCTCCGCCACCATCGTCCTGGTCATTTGCAGCACATAAAGGGTCAAGAGGGCTAGAAGACGATGTAGGGATGTGAGACAAGTCCGAACACGGCAAACGTTGGCACTAACAGTCTGATTGCCCTCGTGCGTGAGGTTGAGGCCCATTGACAGCAACGGGCCAGTGGTAAAGAGCTAGTGTTTGCCGTTCCCAAATCACACATATCACTGCACCTGTCTTACACGCAAGGGACGGCCTGGCTTCCTGCAGCTTACACTTACACCATCTGTCCAGCTCCAGCTTCTCTGCCCGGCCTTGTTTCTCTCATTCGCGCAGGGAAGGACAAGTCCCGCCGGTCCCAAAGCGCTTTCCGCCTGCACCTCAGGCTACATGGCAGCCAGCGGCTCGTGAAACCTGCCGTCTTCATCTGCATGACTGGACTGCCATCACCCGGGTGCCGTTCTGAAACTCGGGACCAGTAAATACCTTCCATGCTGCTCATGACGGGCCATCAACAAGCGAAGCGTTCATGTGGACCTCCTCCCACTTCTTCATCAGATCCACACATTCAGCCGGTGTTGAGATGACGGCTGTTCCTCGTCAGCCACTGGACAACTATGGACATCGCTGATTGCAGAAGCTTCCAGGAAGGGACCTCCAAATTGTTCCTGCGGAACGTACTTTCGGATGACTGCTGCTCGAGTCTCTTCGTCGAGGCCATCCAAATACCTCTAGACCGCCAAGGAGGTTTGTGTGGGGCTCAGTTTGAAAGCACCCTGTTGCTCTGCTGCTCAATGCTCTGCCTGTCTGAAGGCATGTGCACTGGCATGGGCATCTCCTCCGCACAGTCTGCCTCTGTGGCATTCTTCGAACAAGATTTCTCTCGCATGTGCATCCACCGTGACAACCTGTACACATGTTTCGGGCCGGGCACAGAAACTTGGGAGAAGTGACTCAGGACATCCGCCGTCCATCGATCAATCTTAGCAAGGACCAAGCACTCTTTACGACTTGCAAGCGGCTTGGAAGATGCTCAGATTCAGACACATCTAAGTACCAGCGGCGCCTTGTTGCCAGCAACTTCAGACTATTTGGCCCTGCTGCTGCATGCCCAAATTTCTGCCAAAACACCGCTGGATCCAATATGCGGCCACTGCCCACGGGCTCCTGTTCAAGCAGCAGCAGCAACAGCAGCAGGCACTGTGCAGCCGACTGGAGAAAAAGTGAAGACTGCGACAACAGAAGCATGCAGGGAAAGCCCGAGTGTCTTGCCACGATTGCACTGTACCGGGCCGGGTCTGCATCAAAACTCTTCTGCTTGTCGAACACGACGCGGGCAGCAGAGTATCAAAGCGGACGACGGCAGATGCAGACAACATGTGGAAAAAAGCTGTACCCTTCCAAATCTAACTAGGGAAATGAGGGCGGTTTCAGGCAGACAGCAGATGAAGCAACTGACCACTGCTGCAACAAGACAGTAACGGTCCAGAATCTTCTGCAAGACAGCTTCGTCCTCCACCAGGCGACACAATATGAAGGGAGAATGGAACAGCCTTGAAGAGCCCAATCTCCTGCCTTGAAGCCTAGCTCTCGAAGCGCTTCCCGTGCTAGTGCCTGCACGTCGCATGAAGTGAAGAGGCTGCTCAACATTACCTGGATTCCAGGCATGCTTGCGCATACCCTTGGTTTCTCCGCGGTGCCGCACTCTACATCTCCTGGGTTCTCTTGCAGCTTCCGGTTCGTCACAGACGAACTCAGTACCATCTGCTGCTGCCACCGCAGCTGCTGCTGCCGCTGCCGGTACTGCTTGGAGTGTTGTGCAGCTGAGCGATAAGACTTCACGATCCGGGACGCTGTTGCAAAGAGCAGGATGTTGCCGACGGCAGTTTGCCACACGAAAGATGGTCAGAACGGTGGACTGTGGAGATGTCGGTTCACCTGTTGCACGACGGCACTGAGAGGGAGGCCGCCCCTGGCGAGGCACTGAGCCCTGCACGTCGGGCTCTCGTTGCCTTCGTTGCCCTCAGCGCAATCTGCGTCTGCGTCTCCCTGCGCAAGCGCAGCCTGTGCACAGCAAACCATCGAGACGGCGCTCCGACTCGGGCAAACGCAAGCAGTGTCGCCTCTGCCTTCTTTCGCCGGCGTCGTGCTCTTCGCGCCTTGTTGCTGCGGACTTTTTGGGCCTTGCGGTCAGCCTGCAGCTCTTCACTACATTTGGGCTGCTTGCGATTCTTCAAAGCACGCTCGCAAATTTCCGTCTGCCTTCGTCTCCACTCCCAACACTGTTTTCTTATACCTTTCGGCATGGCGGGAAACAAAAGGTCGCAGCTGGCTGACACGGCTGCTGCTGCTGCCCGGGTGCAACTCTGCCAGGCGTCGGCGAGCTGAAACGCGATTTTCGAGCTGGGTTCGATGCGTCTGTGCCTTCACCTAGCGGCATTTCAATTCGATAAGGGATCGCAACAGCGCCGTCAAGAACTGCACTTCCCTGCCACTTCCAACCTCAAGCCCTGTTGGTGCGTGCCGCAAGCGGACAGCCGTTTCAACCTGCCAGGCCCAGAAGAGACACTCATGGCACATGATGGCTTTACTTCAGGCCTTATTGACGTTCTGCCCACCAGGGCCAGCTGAACGGGAGAAGCTCTCTTCCAGGTCTTTGAGGTTCACTCCGAGCTCCTGGAGCTGCCTCAAAGAATCCACTTCTTTTTTGTCGACGCCGAAGGCAATCGCAAGGCTCTCTTTTCATCCGGGCCGCTGGTTGGATTTTTCGATGGATGGCCCTGCGCTCAGCCGTGTTGCTTCAAGTCGACATCTCTCTCGGCCAAGCCCTGTGAACTGCACTGGCGCATATCCTTGCCATGCCATCACGCAGACCAGGCCACTAAGTCACTAGAGTAGAAGTTCGCAAGGATGACAATCCTGGCAGTTTCGCTTCTGAAGGGCACCCGGAGGACTGCTGTTTGTGCGCTTCCTCTGATGTCAATACAGTGGGTATCTTGTTTTGGTCGTCCGCTTGTTGTGTATGAGGTCTTCCTATTCCTATGGGAGGTTGAGGTTCTTGTGACGGCTGAGGCCTCACTGCAAGCAAGGTGCTATGTCGCGCAATCAACACCCAGAAGCCTCGGCCCCAGGCAAGCTTTCGCATTTTCGGGCTAAGATAGCAAAAGATGCCCGAATGCGTCAAGCAGCCCAGCACGGCGAGGCTATGTCTGGCTCTTGGCACTTGACGCCACATGGGGAACCATGGGTTGTCGCCGTGGGCTGGCTTCTTGTGTTCAGCTGACAGGTCGTGTGAGCAGATGCTGGCATGTCACGACTTGAACACACATTGCGTTCTGTTATGTTGCCTTTACCCTCTGTCGATTGATGGTTCTGTCTCGGAGGCGGCACTGCGAAACTCAGAAATACTCAGAGCTGAGCACAAAGTGTGCCTCCGCTTCTTGCCGCTCCAGGTCCATGGCAGCTACCGCATCGCGAAGTGCAGCTTTGGGCTCCTGAGGTGGACGTGGCGGATTGCGCAGAGCACTTCTGTAAAATGAGTGAAACTCGAGGGCTCCTGCATCCTCATATGCGCGCTGCCTCTTCGACAGAGGAGAAGCGAAGCACCTGAAACCAGATCTAGGTCCAGGTGCCTCGACATTGCCGACGGATCCGGTGCCATCTACTGAGCACCGCACGACTCTTGAATCCGTCACTGAGGCAATCATTGGCTCTCTTCATGGTGTCGATGCCATCCTTGCAGAGCACACGTCAATCTCACCGATGCTCTGAGACTTCCCAAGACTCCGACAGTGAAGTGTCGGATCGCACCCTGCCAGTCCTGCAGGCCGACACGCACGAAACCCACAGAACGCCCTCTCAACATCTCTGGCCTCTTTCTCCAACGCATGCTCCCCCTCGGCTTTTCTGTCATCTGCCGATTTGAAAAGAACTTCGTCCATGTTCAGGTGAACCCTTGGCTCGGACGGGGATTTGTGAAGACGCCGTAGAAGACAAGTGGACCGGAATCTCTTAGGTGCTGGCTGTACTGTTGGAATAGGTTCCTCACCTCCGAACCTAGCATGTTGGCCACAGAGTGCGCAGCGGCAAAGATGGCACAGCGCTCTCTTTCCAGGCAAGTCAAGGCCCGCCGTCATCAGACACAAATGGTTGCAGAATCATGCAGTTTGGTGAAACATTGCCGCGTGGTCGCAAATTACCACAGGCGGTGTAAGCCGAGTCCATGTGCGCGGGCGTCATTCTCTGCACGCGCTTGTAGCTTGGAGCTTGATTAGGCCATTTGTCGTTTCTGTCTGGACAGCAGGTTCAGGCAGTTCCGTGAGAGTGCCTGAAGAAGCCTCAGCGCCGCCACTTGGCCACCACGAATGCAAAGGTCAACAAGAAGGCCATAGCTGGAAGTGTCCTCAAGGAAGAGAGGCTTTGCAGAGGGTGCTGACCACCAGCGAGGGAACAAGCCGATGATTTAACCTGAAGGTTGGATTTCCTGCATGTCTGCACTTGCTTGGCCAAGTCGCCAAGCTTCGCGAGGCGGCCATGTCTCGCAGCAGCACTAGGCCTTGCTTCCAACGTACCATGCTGCCGAGGGCAGAGTTGTAAGCGATGACCTAGGTGAGCACTTGGCTCAGGGCTGACTCCCCATTGCATCTGTCCTTCCTCAGCGCGTGGCATCCAGGGTCATCTCCTTCTGCAGACACAGAAGCTGAAGCACCAGCGGCCAACTCGCCTCCGCGACTAAACCCTGGGACTTTCCAACTAAAAATTCTGCATGGCTCTGCCTTGCTACAAGAGGCTAAGAGCGCATTTCCTGTGGCGAGCATCGCCTCCAATCCTGCGAGAAGCTCGCAGTTCTCTGACCATAGCCAGGCGATTCGCAAACATCAACGAAAGTAGCAAAGATAAGAAGATGGCCGCATTCTTCAATGCCAGCGCTGAATACCAACATCCACTCAGCGTAACACGTGGCGCTCTGAAACTTGAGATCGCGACAACAGGAAACCCGAACACTGAGAGGTGTGGAGATCAACGTGTCCAACAGGCACCTGTACAAGTCCAGAAGGGCAGAATTCGGGCGAGTTCCCGGCTGTGAACTGGGTTTGCTTCAGTCTCGCACACAACTTTTGCAGCAGTCTTTCGTCAACCCACGCTGCGAGAGCTGCAGCTGAGGCGAGATAATGATTCTGTCACATCGACGACATGTTTTAACGAAAGCTGGCCCAAGACTTTAAGAAGTTGAGCCGCTCGATTGGTTCGTTCCGTCCGCAACAACACGTAGCAAGCGCAGCTGGCCTATCTCACTGCGCAGCATCCGAGTGCAAGCCTTCTCTTCCGAGTTATGTTGTTGGCCTGAAGCATGCTTCAAAGTGCGACGGGGTGCTAGGGTCCTGCCGATCTTGCTTGCGAAAGCAAGGCTGTGGCTCCTCTCCACCGCCGATTCACGGCCTGGGCGCTGATGGCCTGACATGACGGAACTTGGCTGCAACGCCCGGTCGGATGTCTCGGCCGTGTGCGTCTGTGAACCCAAGGCACGGCATCTAGGACCACAGTATCAGCCACAACTTCCATAGACCTCCCAACAGGCTTTGCACAAAGCCATGGGACTTAGCTGTGCCGCTAGCCGCTAGCACTCAAAGGCCCTCCTACCCTAGGGCCCCAGCTTGGTAGAATGGTACAGGTTGGTCGAGATTTGCCAGCGTTGGCACTTGTTACCTGCATAGTCCAACCAACACATGTCACGCCCTGTAGCTTGCAAGCATGCCAGCCTGCACTCATCAAGGACCCAATGCTTACCACATCCATCCTTCCCAACCTCATGAGTTCGGCACTTGAGGCAGCGCGTCGGCTACACTACAATGACCGTGCACTGTGTGTCAACAAGAACGGAAATCTGCCTCATCTACAGTCGCAACGCAATCTGTGTCATCTGCGCCGTGGCCAAGTGGCCACTGCTGCGCCGTCTGCATTGAAGCCAGCCATTGCTGGCCCCAGTCCAGCGCATTCAGGCAGGAGTTGACCAGCCCGCGATCAGTCCTGCAAGGACGAAGGGGCTTTCGGCGCACGCACAAAAGTACAAAGGCATGTCTGCTCTCTTGTGACTCGTGTGATGCACGCCTGATCCCCTGCAGAGGAAGCTGGCCAAAGCAGGCAACAGCCTGATATCGAAACACCGGGAAAAGACCCGTGCAGCACACCCTACATGGAACAAACCATGCTCACATGCGTTTCCAACCGTCCGACCAGGATGCCCTTTC